GTGTGAGCTCCGGACCCGGAGGTGTGTGTGTGGGGTGCTGTGCGGGTGCCAGCGACAACAGCCCAGAGCCCGATCTATCTCCTTCCACAGAGGAAGCTCCCAGGACCCAACTCCTGCAGGAGCCCTGCCTTGCTCGCAGCCTGGCACCCCTGCCCGGTCACCTGACTGTCCTGCTCGTGACTCAGTGAGCAGCCCGGGGGCGGCAGTGCCCGAGCCTCCTGGGCATGGGGACCTGGGCTGTGGGAGGGCTGGGTCCTGGGTCCTGCCTGGGATGAGATTAGGCCCATGTAGTTACATTCTGAGCCCCCCCGCCCCCTGCCCACACACACACCCAGAGGTTGGGACAGGACCTGTGTGTGGAGAAAACATCCCCTAGCGTTTGGGTTTTAGTTTGCCAGCCTGCGCTGTGCCTGGTTCACCGCCAGGCCCAGGGCCTTGCACCCCAGTGTGAGGTGTCAGCCCTTTGAGAGCAGTGAGAATAGGAGCAGGGAGGTGCCCAGGTTCCGGAGGGACCCCCACGGGCAGACGTTTCCAATGACCCTAATTGGCTACTGGCAAGCTGTCTGTGGCTAGGAGCCTCCAGCCACAGGGGGTGGGTGTGCTGTCCCTCATCGGGGTCCTCCTGTGGGGTCACATCGCGGCTCTTTCATTGAGAGAGGAGACTTCAAAGCAGCTGACTTTTGAAAAATATAACACAATGAAACGAAAGAGCGCAAGGAGAGCTACAATCCCCAGCTCCCCGCCTGCTCCCAGCCCAGGCCCCAGGCGTGGGGTCTGGGAGAATGACTTGGAAGTTGGGGGGGGGCGGGGGCGAGCGCGAAGGTTGGAAGAGAAGGGATGCCTCTGTCCCCAGCTCAACCCTGTGGACAAAGGCCGTCCATGCCGGGCGGCTGGTGGGGACCGTGCCTGCCTTTGTCCTCCCGGACATCTGCTACACGTCGCCTGCTGCCAGTTGGCGACTGCGGCTGACAGCATGCGGGAACAATGCACGCCTCTCCGACCCACTTTCCAGCCTCTGAGGTCCTTTCCGACCCACGCGGTGCCCTGGTGCGCCGGCTGCCCGCGGGAGGAGGAGTCGGGGGATGAAACCCCTGCACAAAGGCCTGCCGGCTCCTTGCTGGGAGGGGCCGGAGGAGCAGGAGTGAAGGGGGAGGGCCGGGCCACCGTGAAAAAGCAACATGCTCCCCTGACCGTGCCGCGGCCGCACGCTGGGGCTGGGGCTCGGATGGGGGGCATCCTGGGATTCGATCCCTTCCCGCCAGGCTCCGGACGGGCCTCCGGCTCTGCCTGCCTTCCTCCCGTTTGTTTCTTTCTCCAGGGCCACCCCTGTCCGCCTGCCTGTCCATCTGGCCCGCGCACCGGGGCCCAGCTGCCTGCGGGCCGCCCGCCAGGCCCCTGGCTGTCAGGCTGTCAGTTTCTGGATGGTTCTGTTGTAGTACTGCGTGATGGGGGGCGTCAGGGGGTTCCAGCTGTTGGCGTGGAGCTCGATGACCTCCAGGAGCAGCGACCGGGTCAGCATCGACTCCGAGGGGCACAGCATCTTGTCTCGGGCACTGGCCAGGAGCTCGGTCATCATCTCGGGCAGCTGCTCCTCCAGCAGCCGGCCCGTGCTCTGCAGCTGTGGGCAGAGAAGGGGGCGCGGTTAGGACAGGATGTGGGCCCGGCAGCGGTCCCGACCCACCTTGGGTGGGTGAGCTGGGGCAGGGACAAGAACCAGCTGGATCATCTCAGGAAGGTGCAGGCCCAGGCCTCTGGGACACAGGGAGGGCGGAGTGCGGCAACAGCCAACTGCGAGAGCCCACACTTAACCACCAATCTGTTGGCAGACGTAAGAGGGATCGGAATATTGCCTGCTGCCCAGGAGCACAACACGTCTCCCTGTCACCCCAGAGCTTTCCTCCTACAGGAAGCCTGCCCTGACTGCCGCCCACACCCTCACTGGCTGTGTGACCTGCTCCCTTCACACGCGATCAGGCTGCTCCGGGTTAATTTTCACTTGCTGGGCTGTGTCTCTGGAAAGGAGCTTCGTCATTGTTACCTGTGTGTGTCCATGTGGAACCTGAGAGCGGAGAGCAGGATGTCTCCTATTTCCCTCCTCCCTCCTCGAGCCCCAGCCCCACCTCCCCACCCGCAGCACTGACCTCTGCCCGCACCAGTGACACGAGGGAAGAGAAACACGAACCGGGCAGAAGGCCAGCCAGAGGGCCTCCTCCCCAGAGAGGCCCCCAATCACCTAGAAAAGCCCCCGTTGGGAAGGAGCCCCAACCTTCTGAGCTGTGCACCCCTGGCCAGCAGCCCCTGCTGTTCTCTCCATATAACCTCACCCCCAGCCTCACCCCACCCCCAGCCTCATCCCACCCAGTGTGCAAGCCTCTACCTTCGTCATGAAAGCTTTCTTCACCTGGTGGGCCCACCCTGACCTCTCTCCCGGGACTCTCCCGGGATGCGTGCTCTGTACCCACACTTTTTTCCCCACTGCCCATCCAGTGGGGTGCGTGCACGCGCTTGTGTGCGTGCGTGTGCATGCGTGTGCGTGTGTGTGATCTAGTCTCGCTGGACCAGACGCTGTCTGAGGGCAGGAAACATGCCTTCTCCTTCTCCCCGCTCTCCCTGCAGTCACGCAGCTGGAGCCCGACCACGACCGGAGTGACTGTTCCTTACACCTAAGCTCCGGTCCGGGCTCCTGCACTCTAGCCTCTGAGATTCTCCGAAGCAGCCTTGGCAGCGGGCAGCAGCCGCCTGAGAGGTGAGCTCAGCCTGCCTGGCGCGTCCTGGGTGCCCAGGATGGAGGCCCCTCCCTCACTGTGCTCCACTCGGAATGGCTCTGGGCTGTCTTCCGAGGGCAAAGGTCTGTCCCCGTGAGTAGGCGAGAGCCCAGTGCCTGCGGGCAGATCCCAGAGGGAGAGTATCCACGAGCAGCGGCCACACCTGGGGGACAGGCCTGGCGCCTCCCGAGGGCTGTTCTGCGACACTGGGATGCAAGCCTCAGGCGCCCTCCCCAAACTCCACAGCACCAAGGCCCAGGTTGATATCGGGGGGCAGGGGTCACCCAGAATCTCTTACATCACTTAGGTGTGTGCCTGGTGCGAGGAGAGGGCGGCCCTGGGGACAGGGAGGGTGACGACGCCAGCCCCCGTGTGACCCTCTCCATGGCCAGCAGTCCCCCGCCCCTCCGGCCCGCGGCGGGCAGGCTCCCTGTGAACATTCACATTCCACACAGGAAGCCGCTCCCCGCCAGCCCGCGCGCTGCTTACCTCCATGGAGCAGCACAGCACGGCGTCTTCCTTCACGTCCTGGGACTGCAGGAGCTGTGGGGGCGAGACCATCTCAGTGCCGGGCTGCCCAAGCGAGCCCCAGGGACCACGGCTCAGGGCGCCCGCTCCAGTCCCCCGCAGCCGGGCCCCCGCCCAGCCCCGGAGCAGCCTGGAGTGAGCATCTCCAAGGGTCAGAGGGTACCAGGAAGCCGGGCCTTCTCGGGCGGGAGCTGAGCCCCTGGAGGACTGCTGTGGACACAGCCTGGGCGCCCCGGCCAGGTCAGAGGCCACGGCAAAGCAGGGTACGGGTGGGCTTGAAGAGGCAGCAAGGATGCCGGGATCACTGGCGGTTACGACTGGCCAGCGAAAATCCTCAGAGAAATTAGCTTAAAGACTTCTGATTGGTGAGCGGGGGCTCGGCCGTGGTCTTGGGTGCTCCTGGGCCCTGGCTATGGGAGGACTTCTGGACATCAAAGTGCTCTGCTGCCAAACCACAGGCCCACCGGCTTCCCCAAGGCTGGACCTGCTTCCAGGCCAAGGCCGCAGCCCGCAGCCCAGCACTGGACCTGGCCACACCCCACCCAGGCTTCCCTCTACTGCCTCGTCTCTTCTCTCAATCTCTCCCTTTTGCTTTTCTAATTGATGTGGAATTCAGATTAACACCAAATTCGCCATTTTTAAGTATACAATCCAGTGACTTAGCATATTCATAAAGTTTCGCTAAGTCCAGAATATCTTCATCGCCCCCAAAAGAAACCCGTGCCCATTAGCAGTTAGTCCCGACCCCCATCCCCTGGCAACAGCTCAGCTCCTTGGTCTCTATGGATCTGCCTGTTCTGGACATTCCAGGTAAACGGAATCACACGATAGAGTAGTCTCTGTGGCTGGCTCCCACTTGACGTAACGCTGTGGAAGTTCACCCACGCTGGGTGAACCTTGCGGACATTGTGCTCCGTGAAACAAGCCAGTCACAGAAGAACAACTACTGGAGAACAGTATGGAGTTTCCTCAAAAAACTAAAAATGGAACTCCCATTTGGTCCAGTGATCCCACTTCTAGGAATATGTCCCAAGAAACTAGAAACACCCATCAGAAAGGATATATGCACCCCTATGTTCACAGCAGCACAACTTACAATAGCGAACATTTGGAAACAGCCTAAGTGCCCATCAGCAGATGAGTGGGTTAAAAACTGTGGTACATCTACACAATGGAATACTATGCTGCGGTAAAAAAGAAGGAACTCTTACCATTTGCAATAGCATGAATGGAACTGGAGAGCATTATGCTAAGTGAAATAAGCCAGTCAGAGAGAGATAAATATCACATGATCTCACTCATGTATGGAATACAATGAACAACATAAACAGATGAACAAAAACAGATCCAGAGACAGAGAAGCATCGATCAGACCGTCAAACCTCAGAGGGAAGGTAGGGGAGGGTGGGGGTAAGGGGGAGAGATCAACCAAAGGACTTATATGCAAGCATATAGGCCTAACCAATGGACACAGACAACAGGGGATGAGGGCATGAGTGTGTGTGTGTGGGGTAATGTGGGGATAAGGACACATATGTAATACCTTAATCAATAAAGAAATTAAAAAAAAAAAAGGAACAACAACTACCGTAGGGTCCCACCTCCAGGAGGTGTCATGTTCATGGGGACAGAAAGTGGACTGGTGGGTGCCAGGGGCTGGCGGGAGGAGTCCTGGGAGCTGTTGTGTGATGGGCCCAGGGTTTCAGGTTGGGGAGATGAAAAAGCCCTGGAGATGGGTGGTGGGGATGGTTGCCTAATAACATTAATG